ATTCAATAATTGAGTGTTACTGTACAGTAAAATGCCTTCCATTCCCGTCTATGTGTTTATGTGAGCAATGTTTCTCAGCGCTTACGTCTATGAATATAGAAAGTAGGAACTGATTCAATTCATCCACACATACGTGAACTAATTGAGAAAAAAAAGTCTTATTAGGAGACATATTCTCAAAGTTTATGATTAATAATTACTTACAAATATATTTAAGCTGCTCTGATCAATTATGAACTACTGATTGTAATGATAATTCAATACAGAAGAAAATTTTGGTATAAAAACAATTTTTAATTTATATGCATATTTTTGTTGCAGGTAGATATGATAGAATTAGCAACAAGACTTTCATGCATAAAAATATATTACTTTAGGAGGAAATTCTCTGGGGGAAATGAAAAAGAAGTATGAGTTCAAAGAGAAAAAGAAAAAAAAATCTGTTAGAGAGTTAAAAAATTTTAATATATTTTTAAAGTGGATGACAAGGGGTACAAAAGCACTACCATATTTATTATTTATTGGATACATTTAAAAGAGTGGGGCAACAATTTTGTTTAAAAACCTTGATGTTTACAAAAGACCATAGTCTCCTTAACTACCTAAGCTTATGATGAAAAATTTTAGGTGTCAGGTTAAAGATGTGAGAGGAGGTACATGTTTTCCAAAATTCTTTAAGGAAGTACAAGGACCAAAAAAAGTACAAAGATTTTAGACATTTCCACTTATCTGTTAAACATCCCAAACAGCACAAATCTAAAATCAGGCTCATTACTTACCCTCCCCTCCCCCCCACCTAACCCAGTCCCTTCCTGCATCTTTCGTTATGGTCAATGGTACTAGTCACTTATGCCACAAACTCGCGTCAGCTTCAACTATGCCCACCTTTCTCCTCTTAACCAGTTGCAAGTCCTGGTGATTCAACTCTGCTCTCTCTCGACTCTGTCCTTCCCCTTCTATGTTGCCACCACCATCATCTCTCTCATACATGATTGCAATAGGCTCCTAAGAAGCTGCTCTGTGCCTCCAATCTCATTCCTCCACTTCATCTTCTATCCACTGCCAGGATATCATTCTACCATACAGTTCCGATCAAGTAACTTCCCAGGTCAAAATGTCTACAGACAAAAGTGCAAAGACTTTACCATCATGGCATGCAAGACACTCCATGATCTGGCCTCAAGCCATCTTTTGAGGGTTATCCTTTCTCTACATTTCTCCATTTACCAATGGATACTTTCATGCCAGAATCTTCAGCCCTGAATTTCCACTTTTCACCTCTTAAAATGCCACTCATCTACCACTTCACATCCCCTAAGATGGTTATAATCCAAAAGACAGACAATAACAAGTGTAAGCAAAGATGTGGAGAAACTGGAACCCTTATACACCACTCGTGGGAATGTAAAATGGTGTAGCTGCTTTGGAAAACACTCTGAAAATTCTTTAAAAGGTTAAACACAGAGTTAACCTTATGACTCAGCAATTCCACTCCAGGTATATACCACTCCAGGGTATATACTCATTCAACACCAGAGAAATGAAAACATGTCCATGCAAAAACTTGTATACAAATGCTCAACGAGGTATTATTCCTAATAGCCCCAAAATGTAAACAACTTAAAGGTTCATTGGCTGATGAATGGATAAATAAAATACAGAGTATCCATATGGTGGAATATTATTTGGTAATAAAAAAAATGAAGTACTGATACATGCTACAACATGAATGGAACTTGAAAACATTATGCTAAGTGAAAGAACCCAGACACAAAAAGATCACATACTGCATAATTCCATTTTATATGAAATGTCCAAAATAAGCAAATCTAAAGAAATAGAAAACATATTAGTTGTTTAGGTCTAGGGGGAATGGGAATTAACTGTTAATGAGTATAGGGTTTCTTTTAGAGTAGACAGAAATGTTCTAAAATTAGATAGTAGTGCAGGTCAATCCTGTGAATATGCTAAAAAACACATTAAATGGTATACTTTAAATGGATAAATTTTACAGAATGTGAATTATATCTCAATAAAGCTGTTCAAAATTTTAAAAGGGCACCCATCCTACAAGGCTTGCTTTCTTTATAAAACTCTTTCTGACCCCTCTTCATTAGTTGTTACTTCTGGTTACAGTTCATCTTGCCTTCTTGAGTTCTTACAGTTGCAATTAACATCTCTAATCATCACTTACTTCATTCTGCAATTTGGTGTAGTATTTAAATGGGTCCTGAAGCCAGACTGCTGGGTTTAAGTTCTGCTCCAACACTTACTAGGTGTATGACCCTGCGCAAATTATTTAAAACCTCTGTGCCTCAGTTTGCTCATCTTTAAAACGGGGAAAATAGGAGTACATGCCTCATAAGACTTTTGTGTGGAGAAATGAGTTAACGTACAATACCAAGAGCAGCGCCTGACATATAGGATGGACTAGATATGGAAGTGCTAGCTATTATTATTGCTGCATTATAGTTAACTGTTTATTTGTTTGTCTCTTTGCTATCCCCTAGTTCATATTTTAAAGTTCTTAAGAGTAATGTATACGGCCTTGTCTCATTATTCTGTATCTTCCCAATAGGGAGAATATCATTACAGATAGGCAGTAAGAGAGGAAAGTGGGAGTCCACAGCTCCAAACTGAGGGACACGTGACTTCACCAGAGCCCTGAAACAGCAACAGTTGGGCAAATTAAAAAAAAAGAAAAAAGAAAAAAAAAAAAGGTCTATCGGCAGAAAAGAAGAGCAGGAAATAACGTATCAGTACCAGTGTTCGCTAAAATCTTCTACTTCCACTAGGGGATTTACTCCCAAATATAAAAGTACCAAATGTATTAAGGAGTCGAATGACTTGCCCAAATTTGCACACTGGACTCACATCTACCAATGAGGCTCAAGGCACCGTGTACTAGACTCAGGAAAATACAATCTATTGCTTTTCCAGGCTGATCACCTCCCCACATTACTACGAAAAGAGATTAAAGGTGTCTGCCTCTGGATAAACATGTGCAATGTTTGCTCAAACATAAATCATACATTTGGTATTCACAGAAAGTTACTCAAAAGGTGAATGGAATTTATATCATTTCTGTTAACTCTGGGCGTTTGCCAATTAGTATAGTTGATCTAAAATAACAGATTGCATCCAGCCTAAGCCGATGGGAAAAAGCTTATTTTATACAAACACCCCTCTCAAAGTGAGATTAAACTAAAATAATCCATTCCAAATTTTGTGATTACACACACATTATTCTAAGGACTATAAGATTCTTGCATTCAAGTATGATCATTAGTGCTGTATAAAAGAACTACTAGCAACAAAGATTGTAGGGCTGGAACCAAACAACGTAAAGGCTGGAAGAAGCCCAAAGTGCTTGAATTCCCTGTTTTAGATCAGATAATTTAGAAACTGCCAGTTAAATATGCAAAGGTCTTTGTAGCTAGCTTAATCTCATGACCCCCTTCAGATCCATAGGGAACTTGCAGTTATTCTCATGACCCTCTTAGAGTCTACGGTTGTTGTTTTTATTGCTTACAATATTTGTAGATACAGCTTATTGTCTTTATTCCCAAATGAAAAAACTGTGTGCTTTAAAAATTCACTCCAGTATCCTTTACAGTCATTATTTCTTTACACACACCTTGGATTAATGTTTATACCTCAAACTGAAAGCACCCATTAATAAATTAGAATGAAAAAAATATTTTAACCTTGGTACACAGTAGATGTTCAATAAATATTTGCTGAATGAATGAACCTACCAGAGAATGCACCTGTCTCTACAAACTCAGGTATAAAAACCAAAACCCAAACCTGTTGCCGTTGAGTCAATTCCGACTCACACTGACCCTACAGGATAGAGCAGAACTGCCCCATAGGGTTTCCAAGGAGCGGCTGGTGGATTTGAACTGCTGATTTTTGGTTAGCAGCCTGTGCTCTTTACTACTGCACCACCAGGGCTCCTAAACTGAGGTACAGGCACAAAATAATCCAGTACAACCTACGTATAGGAATCCCTGGGTGGTGCAAATGGTTATGCACTTGACTACTAGCCAAAAGGCTGGCAGTTTGAACTCATATCAAGGTGCCTCAGAAGACAGGTCTGGTGAACTGCTTCCAAAAGGTCACAAGCCTTGAAAACCTTATGGAGCAGTTCTACTCTGCATACATGAGGTCACCGTGAATCGACTTGATAGCATCTAACAACTACCTACATATACGGGGTATTTTTTATAGAAGTTCTTGTTATTGAGTAATTACAGATTTGGTGGCAACAAGAAGCATTTTGCTGTTGAGATGAAAACAAAGTAAAACAGCTGTTACACATAGTTTCGGGGCTGTTTTCAACATCCTGGTTATAACTAGAACTTTATGGGAAAATGAGAACCCAAAGTCATTTGTTCGTTTCATGAAGTATACTCTGGGATGTGTGGAAAGCAAAATGAGATAAATAAAACCTAATTTATCACTGGGACTATACCAGGGTCAAAAAATATAGCATGTAATTTATTCCTACTTCCAAGACAGATGCTGAGATAGTGCTTTAATTTTAGTAGGTGAAGAAAAGTCCCAGAGCCCTGGTTCCTAAAATTTGCTGCACATTAGAATCACCTAAAAAAAAAAAAATTGCTGCCGAGTCAATTCTGACTCATAGCGAGACCCTATAGGACAGAGGAGAACTGCACAGTAGGGTTTCTAAGGCTGTAAATAATTACCGAGGCAGACTGCCACATCTTTCTCCCACGGAGCGGCTGGTGGGTTCAAACCGCCAACTTTTTGCTTAGAGGTGACTGCTTCATCACTGTGCCACCAGGGCTCCTGGAATCACCTAGGGATCTTTTTTAAAAAAATACTGGCTCCCAGCCCCAAACAGTCTATTTTAATTGGCATGGGATACAACTCGGCATGGGGAGTTTTACAGCTTCATAGGTAATTTTAATGTGCAGCGAAGTCTGGGAACCACTGCCCTAGGGTTTTTAAATTCATGACTTGCAAACACTTACACCTGAGGTTTGAGAATCTTCAGCTGAGTGAGGATGTCCTTCTGTACCCTGGGATTAGCTGTGGCAGTAAGAGCCATCACCGGGACCAAGGGAAACTTCTGGCGAAGCATATTCATTCTCTTGTAATCTGGACGAAAATCATGTCCCCACTAGTTGGAAAAAAAAACAGAGGACTACTTTCAGACTACTTGGATCTTCCTTACGTGAAGAGCAAAAACTAGTCAATATCCTTAGTCCACTATGTTTTTCTTTGATTACTCAGTTTTGCCCTGCTCCAATTCAATCTCCAGAACACACCTGGGAAAATTATTTTAATATAATAGGAATTTGATTATTTTAATATCTTATTTAAAATAGTCCAATGACTGTTTATAACCTACAAGATAAATACGATATTTTATCTTTTCCTAAGGCCCCCGAGTGGCACAAATGGTTAACTGCTTGATTGCTAGCCGAAAGGATGGTGGTTCAAACCCACCCAGAGGCACCAAGAAAGAAGGTCTTGCGATCTGCTTCCAAAAATTCACATCCTTGCAAACCCTATGAAGCAGTTCTACTGTGCACACATGGGATTGCCATGAGTTGGAATCAACTCGACAGCAACTAACAACAACAACAAGGAAAATCTAATGATGTTACTCCTTCATTAAAAGCCTGCAATGAATCCACACTACCTGCTTGATAAAATCTAAACTCTTTAATCCAGCATAACAGGCCTTTTTGGATCTGGCTCCTGTTTATCCTTCAGTTCATCTTCTACTAACTCTTGTAAGTAGCTTGAGGACAGGAAGTTTTCTACCTTGTTCAGGATTATATCTCCAGAATCTCAAACAATGCCTGGTCCAAACAGGCCCTCCTATATGTTTGTGAATTAATTAATTACAGGATGAATAAACGGAAAACACACACACACAAAAGCCCTAAAAAATTTCAACAAAATGTACACAATCATCAATAATGGCTACCAACAAAACAGAACCACCTTATTCTGTGAAACTGCAGAACAGTTCACTCACTGTGGGTTTCTTGTTAATTTTGAAAATGATACTGTTACTAGTACATATTTCTTGATATTTCAAGACATAAAAACAGTATTTACCTGACTGACACAATGTGCTTCATCAATAACAAAACGTGCCAAGAGCTTCCTCTGATACAGATTCTCCAGAGTAGAAATCAGCCTGTTGCTTGCACAGACCTAGCCCAGAAATGTATTAGTACAGATATTAGACAGTTTGAAAGCCATAGACGCCATATCATCCTAACGCTTTTGTCGTCCTTAAGTTCCATCACAACTTAAGATGTATTACAACCTCCATGTCAATTGGTTCTTATTTCAATCTACGAAGCGAATAGCAGAATTAATAGAAAACAGCAAATCTGACATTTTAGAACATTCACCCACATGCAGTAAACAGTTTACGTATTGGGTCAGAGGTTCCTAAAATTTTTTACAGCCTCAAAACATCTGAGGATCAGCAGGTTTCCATTAGTAACAGAGTTACGGATGTGTTATGTTTGAAAAACATGTGTATCTGTATATGTAAATGTATATTTCCTAGCTCTGTCCACTGACAGAGCCTAGAAGCAATGACTTCCTAGTAGCAATGAGCACACCTAACACACACATCTTGACAGGGACATGTCAAAAGGACACAGAAGCCAACTTGATGGCTCTCCTACTGGCCAAATCTAAATATCAAAATACCAGTGATAACTGATTATAACCCACTGAATTAAATTAAAAAATCCTCAGTATGATTTCATACTGATATAAATAAATATGTGGGGGAAAACAGAAAGTTCTTCCTTACAGTAGAATGACAGCTAAATCAGCATCTATTATAGTAATAAGTTATTCAGGGAAGACTCATCAATGGATGCTAAAACTCATGGGTAAAAGTTTGATGAGTAATAAGTTAGTTATATAGTCTCAAAGTATTCTCCAGTAGAATACCTATGAATTAAATAAAATAACTGCAGTAGAGAAATCTGGCAGACACCACCTTAACCAAGTGATCAAAGTTAACTAGCATCATGAGTACTAACATGAACTGACATCAAGTGCCTCCTGATCGGATATACTGAGAACATTTCACTTCTGTGATATCCCTGCCAAAAATGAACACCATGAATCTAATCATGAGAAAACATAAGATAAACTCAAATTAAGAAACAGTCCTCAAAATAACTGGCCTGCACACTTGAAAAATGTGAAGATCATGAAAGACAGAGAGATGGAGAAAACTTTTGGATTACAGTAGATTTAAAGAGACATGATAACTAAATTCAGTCCATGATCTGGGATTTTCTTTTACTATAAAACACATTATTGAGACAACTAACAAAATTTAAATAAGGTCTATAGACTAGGTAATAGTATTATATCAATGTACATTTTCAGATTTTGATAAGTGTACTGTGGCTGGAGCCCTGGTGGCGCAGTGGTTAAGAGCTACAGCTGCTAACCAAAAGGTCGGCAGTTCAAATCCACCAGCTGCTCCTTGGAAACCCTATGGGGCAGTTCTACTCTGTCCTCTAAGGTTGCTATGAGTTGGAATTGACTTGATGGCAAAGGGTACTGTGGCTATGTAAGACAATTCCTTGTTTTAAGGAAATGCACAGACACATATTTAGGGGTAAAGGAATATCATGTCTGCAGCTTACTCTCAAATGTTTCAGGAAAAAGATACATATAAAGAGAAAGATAAAGCAATTGTAGTAAAATGCTACCATTTGGAGCTTCTGAGAGAAAGGTACACATGGATTCTTTGTACTCCACTGTGCATCACAAATTATGTCAAAATAAAAAAATTAAAAATTTATGTATCTTTGGTGGGCTTCAATATCATATTATAAAATAATGATATAAATACAAACCTTCTCTGGAGTAACATATAGAAGTTTTATAATTGGGTCTTTTTTTGATAATTGGAGGTAAATACTTGTAGCTTCTGAGTCAGTCTTATCACCTGTCAGATATGTAGCGGGAATCTAAGTATAAAAGTAGTAAACAATTGAAAAATTTTAATACATCTTACAAATTAATCCTTATTAAGCATAACTCAAAATATTCTTCCCATTGTTCACTTCTTTTTCTATTTTTCATACAAATTACATCTTTGAAATATTAATCTATTTTAAATTCAATGCTCTTTTGGTCTTCCTAGTTATTTCATATTTGTAAGTAAGCTAAATATGAATTCAACATCCAAGAGATTCCAGTCTTAATGTATGGCTACATTTTTAAAAAATGTAAACGTACTTTCAGGTTTTAAAGTATAATCACCATGAAGGGGCTGCAATATCATGAATGGCTGAAGAATGACTACCCTCACTGTGCTAAGACATTCTTCTAGAAAAGTCAAACCAGTGGTCTTGCTGAGGGGTGGTGGCTCATGACCTTGTTTGATCACAAGATGCAGGATTTAGCAGAGTGCACTCATATACTACCTTAAACTCAGCCATGAGGAAAAAAATACACTTGTGTGCATGCTCACGTGTATACATTTTAAGATATAAGAGAATGAGAACTATGCTAATCTATCCACAATAAAAAGAGAAATACTTTCATATTAGTAAAAAAAAAATTACATCAGCAAAATACAGGTAAAAATTTCCTACTAAAAAACATTCTATTAGCATAAAATCAAATTGAACAGCAGAAGGTTATCTATGCTTCATTCTTACAATTCCTGAACTATTTAATAAAAAGGTTATCTGGCATATTAACGTATAATTGTTTTTATAGCATGTTTCATTTGCATTTTCATTGTAACTGCTAGTGTTTTATTTTAACTTACATCTAAGGAAGTCAGCTTTTGGACTTGATCCACTATTAGTGATCTCAAGGGAGAGATGACAATAGTGACCCCAGGAGAAATACAGGCAGGGAGCTGGTAACACAGACTTTTACCACCTCCTAAGAGTAACAGTGAAAAAACAGATCTGTCAGGTTCTATGCTAAGAGCATGAAGGCAAAATTACAAAGTAGATCACATATAATGATTAAAATAACTACCAGAACACTAAGTGATATTCCCCATGGTGCCAACAATTTGCCATACTTGAATGAGCCAAAATATTTTGGCAATTTAAATAACATGTCATAATTACCTTGTAGGACATCTTATATAGGCACATACCACTGCAAAAGCAAAATTTCAAGACAGGTAACTTAAATGCAATAGAATTACTTAAAAAGTCTACTAGGGAAATCTAAATGCAGTAAACTTTCTATTTCTGGCAGTAACAAGGGGTGCTCAAATTAACATAATACTAGGATGAAAATTTCTTTCTATATAATAATTTTTAAAGAAGTAGAACATAATAAAATATACAGCACTAAACCATACTGAACATGGTTTAATATTTCTTTGATGATCCCGAAGGTACTTTTAGGATCTTGGTGTTTTTTTTAAATCATTAGTATGAAGCTCTGAACAGTGAATATCAGAGCATTTACTCCTACTACTCTACTCTGTTCAGTAAGGTAATAATTCCAATCTTCCTTTGAAATAAAAGGGTTGAACTACATTTGTGCATATTAAACAGAAGATAAAGAAATTTCAAGAGACCAAAAAAATTTTTCTCCACATAACTCTAGTTCAAAATGGCAATACATTTAGTGATAACTAAAGTGCTTATTCCCTGTTCTTCTACTTCATCCATACACTAATGGTAGAAGCTGGTGCCAGCAAGTTTCTGGGACTCTGATTTGCTTTTGTATATTACTATATAGCCCTGGAGGCGCAGTGGTTAAATGTTTGACTGTTAACCAAAAGGCTGGTAGTTCAAATCCACCAGCTGCTCTGTGGGAAAAAGATGTGGCAGTCTGCTTCCGTAAAGATTACAGCCTTGGAAACCCTACGGCGGGCAGTTTTACTTTGTTTTATAGGGTAACTATGAGTCGGAATCAACTCAATGGCAACAAGTTTGGGTTTTGGGTTTTATACATCACAGTCTTTCTTTTTCACGTGTACAGTAAGTAAATTTCACTTTAATATATATGTGTAAATGTCAAGGAAAAGAACAGGATGCTGAGAACAAAGAGATCCAAGTTCTAGTTTCTGCTCTGCCCTTAATTAGCTATATGAATTTAGATATGTCATTTTATCTTAATATACCTCAATTTTGTTGTTGTCATTAGATGCCATCAAATCAGTCCTGACTTATAGCGACCCTATGTACAACATCAGTAAAATGTCCTAGATCAGTGGTCTTCAAACTTTTTTTTTTTTTGTCTAAAAAAAATCTTATTTGGAATCTGTATACACACACAATGATAAATCAAGAGGTTGAAATAGGAATGGAAGGGTCTTCAAAAATGTCTCTTGAAACCCTAAAGGCCCATGGAAAGCCCTGGAAATCACAGGACTGGATCACTGCAGGGTCCTTTCCAGCTCTAGAGTTTTATAGGATCAAATTGGGGTTGAAATGGAAGACACAGAGTGACCAACAAGTTAATGAAATTTGAAAATGCTGATTACTAAGCCCACATTATCTAAATGTTAGAATCAGTTTGCAAAACTACAGAAGCACAGTTCCCACTATTTAACAGTGACGGCAATAGCTAACTTGCTAAAGGTTACAACAAGATGAGTGAAAGGCAGAGGGAGGACTTCCACTTAGAGACTGACACTCCAAATTCTCCATTCTTCCTATCACACAAGCCATCAGGTATTTATTAGACACGAATAGCTAAAGAAGTATAGCAACCTTGTTATGGAATACTTATTAGCTGCTTATTTAAAATTCTTACTGAGTGACTATATATCATTGAACAGCCGCTATAAGCTTTAGTAACACAATGAAAAGTCCCAGACTTCTTCAAAACTGGAGCCAACAAAGTACAACCTACATACTTTACAACGAATTCCCATGGAACTCCATGAAGTGCATACATAAGGAAACTGGGGTTTAGGGAGTTAAATTGCTTGCCCCAAGTCACACAGCTCACTAGTGGCAGGGCTGAGCTTTAAACTCGGCCATCACTCCAGCGCCGCTGCTTTTAACCACAATGCATCACTAGGCTGCTACCAAATAAACTGCTAGAAATGGTCCTGCTCTCTGACAGTGATTTTTTGTTAGCTTTCCAGATTTTGACTAGAAAAGGGAAAAATTCCTGAAGAGAAAGAAATTCTAGATCAATTCAACACAATAAGCTTTGAGTTGAAAATCTGAAAGGGATATAGCATTATCAGGTCAACAACCAGAAAAGAGGCTATGAGGTAATAAACTTTCTTACTACGGCACAGGAGGTTTAGAGGTCCCTAAGCGATAGAAACTCTGGGTAGGTATGCAGATATTCTTTTTATTTCTATTAAAGAGCTTTCATTAACATCTGCCAGTGGATTCCTGCCAATTCATGTCTAAAAATACATACCAGTGGGCATTAAGATGAAACAGTCTTCACCAAGCAGTGCAGCATTGATCGCTTCCAGCTGATTAGTTCTAAAATTATGCAGGCCAAATTTTTTATGAAAAATCTTCATCATTTCTTTTGTATGAGGAAAATTGAGACTTTGGAAATGCTTGTGTTTCAGATTTCTGGGTGTAAAATTTTGCTCAGCCTTGTCTAAGAAAATAATTAATGTTAAGAAAAGTCAGGGCATTAATGTAACAAGTCAGTTAATCATTGACATACATTGCCCTGCAATGTACTCCTTCTTTAACGCTTTACTGGGGTTTCCTCCCCAATCACTTTCTAGCAACTGCAAACTCAAAGCCACCAGAGACTTCCTGAGGGCCAAATTCAAGTCTTCCCTTGACTTCTATGCAGCACCTACTATTACCAGCTATTCCCTCCTTCCTCTTCTCCCTGGACCTTCAAGACAATCATGGGTTTTCTACTCACTTTAAATTCCCTTTCCTGACTCTGCTTCCTTCGTCTGCCTCTTAAATACGGTAGTCATTCAGATACTTAGGACTAGGGTCTTTACACATTCCTTTTTTGGATTTTTCCTAGTTCTGTGATTTAAATATCACCACTGTGCAAAGAATGCCTAGTCTCTCACTTAAGACCTGACTGGCATCTCTCCTAAGTTCAGTCCTGCCATGCATCTCTGACTGTCTGCAAGACATTTCTACCCTAATGATTTACCAACACTTTATGCTCATCAAGTCTTAAAATAGTCTTCCTCAACTTTTGTCCACATCTGACTGCCTCCTGACCCCCTATTTCTATTAATGGTGTCACAGTCTCCCAGTCACCCAGGTCTGAAACCTTAGAGACATCTTAGCTTCCTGATTCCTCTTTTTATAACGTCTCTCACATTTGCCCCTGCTCTGCACCCTTGCTGCCTCCACTCTGGTTCAGCACAGAGAACAAGAGGTACTCACACCAGTTTTGGCAGTTACTCTAACTCCAACAATCAACTGTCTCAAAGATAATCGCAAACATCAAGTATGACACATTCTAACATGATACAAAAATAATTCCATTAGTGGTTATTTTAAAGGTCAACAGCATAACTATAAGAACAACTTCCATGGTATTAAGTCATTAATGGCAAAAATAGGAAGGGCTGTACTTTAAAACCTTGCACATACAAACTTGTTTTCATTAAAAAAAAAATTTGTGATAACTTTATAGGGTTGATGTAAGGTTTTAAAATTAATTTTGGCTTTCTTCTGCTAATTTCAGTCCTCCAAAAAGTTCTCTCTCTTGCTAAACTGTGAGCTCCTAATGGGCAGAACTGTTTGTCATTCATCTTAATATCACCAGAACCTAGCATGGTACCTGGCACATTGTAGGCATTCAATAAATACCTTTGAATGAATGAAAGGATTCTAAGGTCTCATGAAAGAATAATTTGATTCATTTAAGAAATTTCTGACTTTATATTCTTCTTAGACTGCCTTGGAGCCCTGGTGGTGTAGTGGTTAAGAGCTACAGCTGCTAACCAAAAGGTCGGCAGTTCGAATCCACCAGCTGCTCCTTGGAAACACTACGGGCAGTTCAGCTTTGCTCTATAGGGTCACTGTGAGTTGGAATCAGCTTGACAGCAATAAGTTTTAGACTGCGTTATATTTTAAAATCTTAAGATATAGAACTTGCTTCTCTACTTTAAAAATTAATCAATTCTCACCAATGCAGAAGTCTAAAAATACACACAATTTTATTTTTAGCATATAAATTCATCTTTGCTTTTGCCCTTCCCCCAAAAAATCATCAAAAAATTGGCCCCCATGAGCTTTATTGTTTTAAGGACTAAAAAATGTTCATTTAAAGGCAAAGCACATTTGTAATGACTTTAAAGCTTTACTACAATAGGTTATAATTACACATTTTATAAAACTACAGCTGCTACAGAGACAAAAGAGCAACTTGCTTTTGAAATTGTGATTTGTAATTCATATTATCAGTAGAAATTTGCATAGAAACAATGTAGTTTTCAGGCAGTGATGGCTTGCTGTGGTTTTTCTCATGCAATTCCCATTTTGGACAGTTTTGTTTTCATGTAATACATAAGCATTCAATTTGGTTTAAACTTACCCGTGTAATTTTGAGTTGATTCTGAGAAGTTTTTATTTTGAGCAGCAGATGCCACTGGAAGACAGTTTGTCTTGGCTGAAGAAATTCTTTCGGCTACAGATTTAATTGGCCGCCCTTCCTTAATAGGTGGATAGGCAGCTGTGGCAGATTTGCTGGCTGTTAAATTCTGCATTATATTTTCCCAGTCATCATCATCATCAAAGTCATCTATGTCAAAATGATCAATATCATAGGAAGCCTGGATTTCTGAAACCTCTCTTCTTTCTAAGTCATTTGTTGAAGCAGCGTGTTTACTGGGATCTTTCACAGCAGTGCTTGTGAGAACATTGCCTGGGAAATAAGAGCTTCCATTTCTTTCTTCTCTCCCTGGTGTTTCAGCACAGCTGCTACTTACAAAGGACCTCTGTAAATGGGAACTGAATAGCGGTCTTTCAAAGCGATTCTTAGTGGTGGCTGAGAATCCTGTCTTTCCTGGGGTAGCAGTCGGTAAACATTCCCCAGTGGAAATGGAATTTGAAGGAAGGTGTGGGAAGTTTAACTCCTTAACAGAATTCTCTGTAGGACAGAAATCACCCTGTGAAAATGCCGCACCTTCCACAGAGTTATCAAGTAAATTAGGTCTACATCTCCACAGTGAGTCAAGAAAACCAGCATCACTTCTGTTAAAATCCACATCAGCAAGGAGTCTCCTTCTGAAGAGAGAAAACAGGACACCGTACTAAATATGAGTAGTCTATGATGGTAGGCCACACAAGTGTATCTTCAGTTTTCATTCCAAACAAACATCATGGCAAAATAGCTCCTCTTTTTTTTTTCAATCTTAAAATACTGAATACAAACGCTAAAAGGAAGAGTTTCAAAAAGTAAATGTTATGAGATCATCCTAAACAATTTCCTGGCCAGGAGGCCTGGAAATTTTGCTCTGTTCAATTTTGGCTTAGAGCAGTGGAAATGCAATCAGATAGATTCCAAAAGGAGAAAAATCAAGATACCTTATGTTCCGCTGCTGAAGCAGTTCATTCCCACAATCCAAAGCTTCCAGTTGATCATCAGGAATAGTATCAACTAATTTACAGATGTCCTCCATCACACGAATAAGCTGCTGTTGTAAACTTAACTGTTTAGCTATAAAGTAATTACGTTGTTATTTTTTTCCTTTGAAAACAAAAAAGACTAAGATTTGAAATATTTATACATGTAAAATTTGAACTAGTTTAAAAACAAGATCATAAACAAACATACACGTTACTGTTGGGTTGATTCCAACTCACAGCGACCCTATAGGACAGGGTAGAACTGCCCGATAGGTTTCCAAGGAGCGGCTGGTGGACTCAAGCTCATAAATGAGTTTTCATTTGAATTCCTGATACTTCTCTTAAAGTTAGAAGGCACAAAGGTATCAATTTACCAAGAATTTTTCCTAACTTCAGGCATAAATTTCACTGTGCCCACACAAGGTGTGTCATAAAAGGTTGGACAAGCAATACCCTCACCTGTTGCTTTGGTCTGCCTGACATCCACGCTTCCCTTTAATGGACACAGTACACACAGCACCCAGGTTTTCCTTTTGGAGATACACCCCTCTCCTGAGCCCTCACTGGGCATCTGATATAAGGCAGCCCAGTGAGAATTAGTGCCAGCATTTTTTAGAATAACTCAGAAAGACCATCTCCTTTTTCAGCAGGTTTGATGAAAGCTACTGGTGACCCTCTCTGCAACCCCACAGGAAAAGACAGCTCGGGAATAAGAGCAACACAAAGGAAAGCAGAAAACAGAGACAGAAAAGAAATGGGGAGAGATGCAGAGATGGGACAGAAGAGGGTAGAAAAGGCAGGGGTGAGAGAAATTCTTGACAACAATGTTTGGACATCTGAATCCAGCTAGTCCAATCCATATTTTTTGTTTATTTTTATTATTCCCAACAAAAGTTATGATTACTATTGGATTGTAACTCTTGAATCATGTCCATATGATTTTTACTAAAATAGGGATAAACTAAGTGCTAAGTCACGGGGAGATATACCAGTTACATTACAGACATATTTTCTCCACTGTTTGGAGAGACAGTGCTATAGGGTCAAACAGAGCAGAAATGTTGCCTCTCTTAGAAAGGCAGCGTGCCTCACTTGCACACCACTCCAGTGAAGGGGATTCTTACGAAGGCAATAGTTTAAGACCTCAGCAAGGAAGGCAAAATTGAGTACAGTGCAAGTCGCCCTTGAAAAATCCCTTAAGTCAGTCATAGAGTATGGTCTGTATCATTTTCTGTATAGTAATTCTTTTGCATACTAAAGCTTAGGTACCTCTAAGCTAAACCAAAGGCAAACTGGATGCAGCTACCCGGACATTCAAACCATTCTGGCTTTAACATAATTATCAAATTCCAGATGAAGAGATGAATGGGTGAAAAACTCCAAAGTGTTTCTAATGGTGACTGAGGTAAACAGGGGCATGAGGTGTGAGATGGTGAAAGTGGAACTGCTGAATTCCTATTTTACCTCTGTTTTCTCTGAGAGAGAACGGGCATCAGATTGGAAATAGGAATATAAACAATGGTCTGAAAGAACAGAAAGCCAAGACAGGCTCAGAGAGAGAGAGAGATACAAGGGCACCTAGCTATTGGAAAGGAGCTCAAATCTCCTTATCCAGACAGATTACACCACAGAATACAAAGAAAACACACAAACAAGATCTTGGAGCCACTGTTGCTGATACCTGAGGCATCTATCTAGTGAATAGGAGAATTGATGAAATAGTAAAGACAGGCAAACATTGTTCTAATTAAAAAAAATACAAACGTGATTGCCAAAAACTACAGACTGGTGATCTTGATGTCAATTCAAGTCAAAATTCTAGAACATGTTATAAAACGGCTGCTTTGTGAGCTCTGAGAAGGAGAGGAAACAATTATAGAGTTAGCAAGAGTTCATAAAAGCAAATCAGCCATCTTAATGTATATCCTTCTTTGAAAGGATAACTAGACTGGCAGATAACATTTATTGAAGGCCTACAGTGCACTAGGTACTGTACCTTGAATCCTGACAGCTACACTGCAAGGTAGATAGTATTCTCATTTTACAAAAGAAAAAACTGAGGTTCTGAGAAGCTACCCTAATTTGTCATAGTCATACAGCCAGGAGGAGAAGGAGTCAGGTCTTTCTAGCTCAGGTCTTCCTCACTCTGTAGCCGGTGCTCCACCCATTCCCCCTCAGGCCTCGAACTTTCCCTAGTCCTATGACCAAGTCTTTTGTATCCCCATGGACAAGGGAGAGAAACATGGCCTGGAAGGCAGATTTGCAACTGGCTGAACAAGAAGTGGCAATGAACTGACGTGTGTCAGTTGAGAGTGAGGCCTCTAATGACATTCTCTAGGACTCTGTCCTTGCCCCTGTCCTAGTCAACCACTTTAACAGTGAAACATAATGGTGTAGAGACACTATGTGCAGTGATTATATGTGAACTCAAGAGCCTCAAGATGGCTTGGCTTCAAATCCAAGCTCTGCTACTTTCTAATCCTATGACTTTGTGCAGTGATTTACCTCTTCTGTACCCCAGTTTCCTTATCTATAAGGATAACAGAAACTACCTTAAAAAGCTGTCATGAGGATTAAATTAGTTAATACTGTAAGGCACTTAAGATAGTGTCTAGGACATCAGATAGTTCAGAAATTTTAACAGGAAATTCAGAGACGAAAATAACAAACAAGCCAAAAGAAAAATATCGGAGGAAACAGAAACAACACAAAGAGAGCAGAAGAACACCACACACGTGTGCACATACACACACCTCATGACGAAAGCATAGCATTCATCAAACAAGAATAGGATGCATAACAGAAATATCCAGGGATGAAAAAAGAGCCCTTGTAAACTGATAAGATAAAATTGAAAAATTCCATAGAAGAGTTAAACATAAAATTGAAGTAATCTCCCAGAAGGAAATAAAGCAAGACGTGGAAAATAGAAAAGATAATTAACGGAGGTCTACCATCCAAATAATAGAAGTTCCAGGAAGAGTGAAGAGAGGAAAAAAAAGAGGAAAATGAAAAGAAATAGTACTAGAACATTTCCCACAACAAGAGGACACATATCTCCTGCCTGAAGGAGCCTCTAGGAAATAGAAATCAGGAATGGGAAAGGGGACTGCCGTTTCTGAGACTCTGGTAGACCTATCTGACTATTTATACTACATATTTAATAGAAATAAAAAATGAATTAAAAAAAAATCAAACAAACAAAAAAAGTATTAAACTTTAAAGGGATATCAAGACCCAGACAAGGGAGAACTACCAGGAGGACGAAAGGTCTAGAAATCATTATCTATAACCCCAAAAAACCCAAACCCATTGCTGCCGAGTTGATCCTGACTCATAGCGACCCTGTAGGACAGAATAGAACTGCCCCACGGGGTTTCCAAGGCTGTCAATGTTTACAGAAGCAGACTGCCACATCTTTCTCCCACGGAGTGGCTGGCGGGTTCGAACAGCTGACCTTTTGGTTAGCAGCCAAGCACTTTAACCACTGCACCACTAGGCCTCCTTCATTAGCTATAAAGAACAGATTTAATGTTTAGCCTGGAAAAAAATAAGACCTATAGGAGCTTAAGATTTACCTCACAAGGGTTAAAGTTACAGGGAGGTAAGTTCTGGCTCACTATGAGAAATAATTTTATAATAAGTAGCATTTTGAAAATAGGGAATGAACTACCTTGTGAGTCTATGAGTTTATGATCCCTGAAGTGTTCAAAGCAAATGCTGGCTAACTAATGAAGAGGGATCACTGTATGACAGGAGAACAAAAGAACTGTGAATTTGCCATTTTATGCAATACAGCCACGGGGCGAGAATACAATTTTACTTTGTTTTCAGAAGTAAGTAGTTGAAATATGTGCTACACCTAAAATACTTTTTGTACCGTCACAGTCTGTGCTGGTTGCTTGATTAGGCTGCTGAGCAGTCATTTTCTCAGGTTTTGATAAAAGGTCATTAGATGTGCTAAGAACATCCTTCTTTCTGTCGGAGGTGTCAAGGTCTTCTACCATACTACAAAAAAAAAAAAAAAAAAATGTAAAGCTGATCATAACATAGGCTGGGCCAAAATAATGTGTAATTTTCATCCCCCTAATATTTTCCCACAACTGGTCAGACAATATATAATAGAAAAGAGAGACATGTTTTTATATTTCCAAAACCTCTTCAGCTGGCCCTCAGTCTTCCATCTTCTGGTCCCAAAAACCCGTTGCCAATGAGTCAATTCCAACTCACAGAGACCCTACAGGAAAGAGTATAACTGCCCTATACAGTTTCCAAGGAGCATGGTAGATTCAAACTGCTGATCTTTTGGTTAGCAGCCGTAGCTCTTAACCACTACTACGCCAGGGTTTTGTCTCTAATTATGCCCTTTCAATAAGCCAGGCTCCAGTCAAACTGTATGGCTTATATTCTTCATATAAGCCCTGTAGTGTCTATTTTAGGGATTTTGCCTCTGCCTGTCATTACAATCTCTTCTTACCCAAATGACATCTGTTCCTCTAGGCCCAGCCCAAATGTTAACTTCTCTTATTTCTCCAGCAGGTGGTTATTAACATATCTCTTTGGGATTCCAAAGCACTTTATCTGGACTTTTCTTATTATGCCAGTATGCCAATGTGTATATATGTGTATCTGGGTATATGTATATATGTAACTAACTCATACATATTATTCACAAATATATTGCTGTTGTGTGCCATAGAGTCAATTCGTCTCACTGTGACCCTACAAGACAGAGTAGAACTGTCCCACAGGGCTTCCAAGGAGCGGCTGATGGATTCGAACTGCCGACCTTTTGGTTATCAGCCTGAGCTCTTAACCATTTCGACACCAGGGCCCCTCACAAATTAATATAGAGAAATATAGTCAGTCTGATTAGATATAAAAATACTTAAAAAGTAACAAAATAAATTAGTACTAATTAAGTGTTAAAGAGAGGGTACTGTGGAAATTCAAAGAAAAGTAACACTTTCTAGTGCTTAAGATAAGAAAAGCTTCACCAAGGGGTTAGGATTTGAGCAAACTTTGAATAATGGGTATGGGAAAAATGACAAACTATGAAGGAGAGATAAAGACGACAATTCTATTTGCTTGATATCCAGGAATCAACTCTAATCAAGCACAATTTTGTACTGGAATACTCTAACTAAATCAAAACAGTGATGAGTAATTGTTTTATATAATTTTAAAAATAACACATATAATTGAAGATATAGCCTTATATTAAAAGACATAGGCTTATAATTTCCAGATTGTTGGTTTGACCAATGAGGCTTACTGGAGTTCAGGGTTATTGAAAGGGCCTAACTGGAGAGACAGCTGAAAAAGTAGTAGTTTGAGGCCAGAAGATGGAGAACTATGAGGGCCAGCTAAGGAGGTTTGGGACACAGGAGTTACTAAAACAGTCTCTCTTTTCTATTATATATTGTCTGACCATTCCACCTCTGAAATTAACTTAGAGGTCAGCATTTAAAAAAAAAAAACGAAATAAAATTGAACAGAAAATTTAAGGGTGCATTGCACACAGTTAAAAATATCATTCATGAAATTTTTTTATCAGTTTGAAATATATACAAATACGTGTACTGGGCTGCAATGGGAAATATATTGAATCTACTTTGTAAATAATCATTTTCTAATTTCTGAAGGTCTAGGTTAATTATGGTACGACAACTCAATAAATCATGTAGCCATTAAAAGGAATAAAGATTATGTAGCAATGTGGAAACCACCCTAAAAAATAATGTTAGGAGAAAAGAAGCAGAATTTAAAATTACAGTTACATGTTGATTACAACAATGCAAAAAATCATACACAAATGAAGAGAAGGGTCAAAACTGAACATGAACAAAGAAAATGGTTTGTTGAAATTGTGGGACTGGGTATTTCTTGTCTCTGCTTAGATTCCTGTTAATGTGGCTACAATGTTATTTGTGCAATACACATTTTTTAAATAAAGAACAAAGCCAAGTGTTCAACAAGGAATCAGTGTGGCACAGGAGAAAGCACTATACTGAGTCCATTTGCCATCAGTTGTGTCATCCTGGGCAATTCATCCTGCTCCTCCCTGGGCCCAGATGCTCTACCTGTTAAATGAGAATGCTAACGCAGAATCAAGAATTTATATGAACTCTTGCTCAGTTCTAATTTTCTACAATTCTGCCTGAATTTCTATTGGAAAAGAGGATAGGGAAGCTCTTATAGTTGTTAGTTTTGTCATCAAACAGTAATCGTGCTTCAATCTTTCCTGCCTCTTCAAATATCTCAACACATCTATTAAAATACAAACCATGAGAAACCAGGTTATGCACACAAACACCCCCCTTTCCTTCTTCTTCCCCTAAATAAAGTGATGTACTACAGGGATTTGTTTCTCATTAAAATATTGGTTAATAGCATAGGGATATACACTAAAACTCAATAGGACTTCAATTTAGATTGGGGGGGGTGACAATGAAAATTAGTCATTTTAGCTATTGATAGGCTATACGGAGTATCTATTTCTCCGCAATAGTACCAATTAACCATAATCATGTCAACAATTTGCTAAAATTCAGTGAATAACAAATACAATGGATAATTCTATCCTGTAGGATTAAAAAAAAAAGACATATTTACTAATTCACTTTCCAAATAATGGTTAGCTTTGTCTTTTCATATCCAAGAGTTTGGAAATATTTTTAAGAAAATATTCCTTATATCAAAATCAACTACATAATATTGTTTGGAAGTCCCACGTAATTAATCATAATGGGACTTGACATCTTTAGAATGCTAGCAATTAAATAAAATGTATACAAAGGGATTTTTTATGCTTTCACTTGGATGTAAAATAAACTGTGCAGAAGCACAAAACACACGTACATAGAAATGATACTATGTAACATAACTAAATTAAATTATTTAAGCTATCCCAAAAACAAACAATAATGTTCATTAATTATCTATTTTACCTAAAGCATTTTAAAGAGGAAGAAGTGGCAGAAATAACGTCTTCTTCTGGAGAAGGTGGAATAAAATCTCTATCGTAATCATCCTCATCAAGCTCAATACATGGAGATTTCTCAGTTGAGTGTAATTCAGTTTCTTCCAAACTTTTCTTCTTTTCTCTATTATCTAAAGAAAAACAGTTGGTGAACATAGGTTATTTTAAATAATTAAAGGGATAGAAAGAACAGGGAGTAAGCACTTAAGAGTGAGTGCTTTGGGCAAGTCATAAATGATAATACCACTTTGTATATAAGTCCTCTCCTTTCACACATTAATGTTGGCCTATTTCTTTACAAATGATTATTGAGTCAAATGAGTTAAATCTAATGAATGCTGGATTGAGGCCAAAGATTTGCTTAAAGATTTTCATGATCATCTCCAGTTAAGTTATGAAACCTATATTTAATATCAGTATTTTCATTTTTCTATTTTTCACTCATATTTAGATAACGATTGTTGTTGTTAGCTGCTGTCAAGTTGACCCCCGACTCTTGGAGATCCCACGCACAATGGGATCGGACCATTGTGATACATAGGGTTTAAAGTGCAACAAATAAGTCTGATAACTGCATAAACACTGCTGTGGGTACAGACAAATTAGCTGTACCACAAAGGCTTCCTAGCTATTTAAGTCGACCAGATTCAGCGTCTCTCTCTAGGACCAGCCTGAAAAACATAATGCCAAATTGTTGCTGTCTGGCAGGTGGCACAGTGGTTAAAGTACGTGACTGCTAACCAAAAAGGTGGTTTGAACGTACCAGCCGCTCGGCTAGAGAAAGATGTAGCAGTCTGCTTCTGTAAAGATTTATAGCCTTGGAAACTTTTATAGGGCAGCTCTACCCTGTCCTATAGGGGTCACTATGAGTTGAAATCGACTCGATGGCAATGGATTTTGGTTTTGGGTTTACTTTTTACTGAACTTTCTTTTCAAAAACAGCAACACAATTGATTAGACTAGTTTTGCTTACTGTCAATCACTTTTCAGCCCTCTCTGACCCAATAGCAACCTTGATGGGATGCAGGTGTTTCAAAATTTTAATCTCATATTTATGAACTATTTCATAAGGTGGGTTACTTCCACATATGGTTGATCTCAGCTATTAAATTTTGGACATCTAATAACTATAAGGCCTATTCAGAATATAATTTGAAGGTAATATAATACTTAAATAGCATCTAAACCATAAAGGAACTCCAATCAAAAGGCTTAGTTTTACTTCACAGTTCTACCACTAACCAGCCATAGATCTTTAACAAAGTATTTTAACCCCTATGGGCCTTATTTTCTTCATATGTAAAATCAGAGAGCTCTCCTTGGTAAGAATACAAAAACCACCCCAGAAGAAAACCTTCCATTCCATCAGTACCTCCTGCCCCAAGAATGTGGCCAATAGACTGCACACTAAGTACCTCTACAGATTCTAAGATCTTTAAGGACAAAAGCTGTATCATATTCACTGCTGTCCCCAATGCCTAGCTTTCAATAAACAAAATTAACCAACATACTGAAATGAAGATAAAATAATTTTTACCTCTTTCATCTCCTAAACGAGTTTTTGAAGAGTGACTTTCCTGAGTCTCTTCATTTATAAGCCCTTTGGAAATGGGGTCATCGTCGATGCAAATCACACCGCTGCTTAACCATTCTGAGTCATCCTGTTCTTCCTTAGTCAAATCCACTTGCTTGCTTTCGGCAGAGGAGGGAGTCAAGTCAGCCTTTACTGTATTTGCTTTACGAAGCTGTGATTTAAAAAAGTTTCTCTTATCCTTTTTTGATTTCTGAGCAGTGCTTACTCTTATGTTGTGAGTTTTAAGTGGTGTAACAAATGCTTTTGAATTTCCAGAAATATCAAAGTCATCCATATCATCCCAATCATTGATGGTAATTAAAGAATCTGTTGAAGAACTGAACTCTAATTTCTTGAAAGCAACATCATGGGACTCCCTTATAGCTCGTGTGTTTTGGGCAGTACATAAAACTTCCCGTGGAGTCTGCAACAAATCTGGTGATGATGGTTTTGAACCACCTCTTGCGGTCTGCTGATCCTCTGGAGCATTTTTAAAGAAGTCATGGAGCCTAGTCTGCTGACTCGAGGCGTGGGGTAAAGGCTCACTGAAGGAAAAGGCCTCGACAACATTAATATCTTTATCACTTAACACAGGCGTTTTAGCTACTGATACACTAGTTACAGATACATCGTTATCAGAAGATGTTTTCTTTTTAAAAGTGAAACCTCTGAAAAACAATTGAAAAAACTGAATTAGATTTTTTTTGAATTAGATTATTTTAACAAACTCACTAATTCTATAAAACTTTAATTAAATGAGCAAAGAAGCCATATCCCTCTCTGATTTTTAAAGCATATAAGATAACTTAAATAATACTTTGTATGCTTTGATCCTTCCTATTCAGAGGCTAATTATTCAGTTTTGAGAGTACTCAGGCCATTTCCACTACTTGCTTAGGCTGGTAAAAATCAGTTGCTGTCGAGTTGATTCCGGCTCATGGCAACCTCAAGTGTGTCAGAGTAGAACTGTGCTCCATAGGGTTTTCAATGGCTGATTTTTTGAAAGTAGATTGCCAGCTCTTTCTTCCAAGATGCCTCTGGGTGGGCTCGAACCTCCAACCTTTCGGTTAGCAGCCGAGCACTTTAATCATTTGCAGGAAATCCCTCTCAGATTGGTAGTCTTTAATTAATACCTCTTCCAGAGGAAGGGGATAGCATAAATGAAAGAGAAGAGATTCAAATGTGACTACATGTTGCTACTCTAATAAAAGTTTTATGGGAGAAAAGAGTTAGAAACTGCTAGCTAAACTGAGACCTGAAAGACCAAAGAATTGATGCCTTTGAATTATGGTGTTGGTGAAGAATACTGACAATAGCAAGGACTGCCAGAAGAATGAACAAATCTGTCTTGGAAGAAGTACAGCCAGAACGCTCCTTAGAAGGGAGGATGGCAAGACTTCGTCTTATATACTTTGGACATGTTATCAGGAGGGACCTCATCCCTGGAGAAGGAAATCATGTTCGGTAAAGTAGAGGGCCAGCGAAAAAGAGGAAGATCCTCAAGGAGATGGACTGACATAGTGGCTACATCAATGGGCTCAAACATAGCAATGATTGTGAGGATGGCACAGGACCGGGCAGTGTTCCGTTCTGTTCGTACACAGAGTCGCTATGAGTCAGAACCAACTCGACGGCACCTAACAACAACAACAACTGCTAAAAACATGCTCTGCCGTTAATTTGCAAAGTAGGAAAAGCATTTAACCGCTGAGCTTCATTTCTTCATCTGTACAATGAAGGGGTTAAACCAGACATCTCATTTGTATGATACAGTGTGTTAGTGTTTTCATGACAGCAAACCAACCAAATTACTTACGAGGATTTTGGCTTTGAAAGACTTAATTTATTATTAAGTTTTCTGGCTGAATGACGCTCCAATTGCTCCTGTAGATTGTTTTGCGGAACAGCAGCCATGATCCTAAAAAGTGAAGCAGAAAGTATCAGTGGAGTCACATACTTTGCATTAATCACAATATTTACTGGAGAAGGGAGACTTGATTCAAACAGACATTGTCCCAGCTGTGCCCTGAGTCATAAGAGACATTTTTATGTCAACAGGGTGTTGTGAATTTACAACTGGTGACGTTTGAAACATATAACCGTTAGCTAATTGAAGGCTCACCCAAGTAACAAAATGACCAAGTTTCCCCCCCAAAGTTAAAATGAGCACAAAAGACATTAGGGGCAGATTCAGAAACGGATTATTAGGAAAGGGCTTGCAGAAAAATGGGAACTGGTCTGGGCTTGAAGGATAACTGGAAGCTGGACAGAGAGTAAGAAGGGAAAAATAGCCAAAGAACAAATGAATTCATTCCAAATTTTCTACTCAAGGGCAAAATTGGGTAAAGAAGAAACAGCACTACCAATAAGACAAGTGGTTTACCAGCAAGATACTATGCTTCATAATCAGCTAGTTTCAACCTAAAAGAATGCTTTTACCAAGTATATTTTACATCCTTTGTGTACCAAAAATGTATACTGCTGAGCTATTGCCTGGGATAACGTACAGCTTGTTGCTGTTGTTAGGTGCCATAGAATCGCAGCCCCATGTGACAGAGCAGAACTGCCCCAGAAATTGACAAGCTGATTCCTAAAACTCATATAAAAATGCAAAGGACCCAGAAGAGTCAATCTTGAAAAGAAGAACAAAGTAGGAGGATTCATACTTCCCAGTTTCAAAACTATCACAAAGCTACAGTAATCAAGACGGTGTGGTATTGGTGTAAGGACAGACATACAGATCAACAAAATAGAATCCTCAACTTCACATTTATAGTCAATTGATTTTTGACAAGGGTGCCAAAACAATTCAGATTGGAAACAACAGTCTTTTTAACAAATGGTGCTTGGATAACTGGATATCCACATGTAAAAGAATTAAGTTAGATGTCTATCTCATACCATATATAAAGATTAACTCAAAATGGAACAAAGACCTAAATATAACAGTTAAAGCTATAAAACCCTCAGAAGAGGGGTAGATCTTCATTGCCTTGGATTAGCCAATGATTTCTTAGATATAACACTAGAAGCACAAGCAACAAATGAAAAAATAGATATGTAAGACTATCAAAACTAAAAATTTTTGTGCTTCAAAGAACACTGTCTTGGTTATCTAGTGCTGCTAAAACAGAAATATCACAAGTGGATGGCTTTAACAAACTGAAGTTTATCCTCTCACAGTCTAGTAGGCTACAGGTCCAAATTCAGGGCAACAGTTGCAGGGGAAGGCTTTCTCTATCTGTCAGCTCTAGCAGAAGGACTTTGTCATCAATCTTCCCCAGTTGAGGAGCTTCTCAGCGCAGGGACCCTGGGTCCAAAGGACGTGCTCTGCTCCCAGCTCTTGTTTCTTGGTGGTAAGAGGTCCCTGTGTCTCCCTGCTCACTTCTCTCTATTATATCTCAAAAGAGATTGGCTTAAAACACAGTCTAATCTTGTAGATTGAGTTCTGCCTCATTAATATAACTGCCACTAATCCCATCTCATTAACATCATAGAGATAGAATTTACAACACACAGGAAAATCACATCAGATGACAAAATGGTGGACAATCACACAATACTGGGAATCACGGCGTAGCAAAATTGACACACAAATTTTTGGGGGACACAATTCAGTCCATGACAAACATCATCAAGACAGTGAAAAGACTACTGACACAAGCAGAGATAATTTTTGCAAATCACGTATACAATTAGGGACTTAACAGAACACATAAAATAACTTTTACTTGTTACTACTACCCAGTAATAAAGACAAATTACCCAATCAAAAAATGGGCAAAGGATCTGAATAGACATTTCTGCAAAGAAGACATACAAATGGCCAATAAGCACATGAAAAGATGCCTAAAACCACAATGAGATACCACTTCACACCCACTAAAACCCAAAACAAACCAAACCCATTGTTGTCGAGTTGATTCCAACTCATAGTGACCCTATAGGATAGGGTAGAACTGCCCCATAGTTTCCAAGGGGTGGCTGGTGAATTCGAACTGCCAACCTTTCGGCCAGCAGTCATTGTTAACAACTGCGCCACCATGGCATGCTCACTAGGGAGGCTATAACCAAAGAGATAGACAGTAACAAGCGTTGGTGAGAAAGTGAAGAAACTGGAGTCCTCATACACCACTGGTGAGAATGTAAATGATGAAGCCACTTTGGAAAACAGTCTGGCAGCCCCCCGAAACATTAAGCATAGAGTTAGCATTTCAACCAGCAATTCTACTAGTAGGTATATACCCAACAGAAATGAAGACAAATGTCCACACAAAAATACATGCATGAATGTACACAGCAGCATTATTCATAATAGGCAAAAAGCAGAAACAACCCAAATGCCCATCAACTAATGAATAAATAAAATGTAGAATATCCATACAACAGAATATTATTCACCCATAAAAAGGAATGAAGTATTGATACATGCTACATTATGGATGACTTTTGAAAATATGCTAAGCGGAAGAAGCCAGTCACAAAAGACCACATATTGTATGATTCCATTTACATGAAATATCCAGGAGCAGGCAAATCTATAGAAACAGAAAGTAGAATAGTGGTTGCCTCAGGCTAGGAGGGTGATGGGGGGAAGTGATAAGGTGATTGCTAAAGAGTATGGGGTGTTTTGTTGGGATGGTGAAAATGTGCTAAAATTGACCATGGTCATTGATGATTGCAGAATTCTGTGAATATACTAAAAATCATTTAAATGTAAACTTGAAATTGGTGAATTGTACAGTATGTGAACTATATCTCAATAAAGCTATTACCAAAAACAAACAAACAAAAGAAAGTAGACAGAAAGGTATAATGAACCTCATAGATCTATCACCTAGATTCAACAATCATCAACTCATCCAATCTTGTTTCATCTATATATACACCCCCTATATTTTGAACTCAATCCCCCAAATCATATTACTTCATCTGTAAAAAAGATTGACCCTTTAATAATAATTTAAAAAACCAAATGGTATTATCATTTAAATAACTCCTTATTATCAAACACCCAGTGTTGAAATTTCAAGGATCTCATTACTGTC